AAAGTTTTCACATTGCCTTTTGTCTTCTTCCTTTATGATAGTAACACCCAAGTATTTCAAGTTTTGTTTCACCGGGATTCCTGATATATGTAAGGCAATACAGTATTTGATGGGAAGTAATTCACATTTGGAAAGGTTTAATTTGAGTCCTGAAGCTAAGGAAAATGTGGTTAATAAGTTGATAGCATAGTTTACCTGAGAACAATCATTTCAAAAGAGGGTTGTGTCGTCAGCAAGCTGACTTAAACAGATTTCTCTTTCTGCAATGGATATTCCTTTAAGGTCACTATTCTTAATATAATTGGCTAAAATTTGCATGGGTAACAAAAATAGAAAAGCAGAAATTGAGCAGCCCTGTCGTATTCCACGTTCTATATTAAATCTATGAGTTGTTCCATGGGGCAGTTTTATAGAGCTGTTCCCAGATGTATACAGGGTGCAAATGGATTTTTTAAAAAGCTCACCAAAGCCAAATAAATCAAGAGATTTAAGCATAAACTGGTGTTCTAATGAGTCGAATGCTTTTTGGAAGTCCAAAAATAGAATGAAACTGTTTTCTGAAATAAGATCGGAATCATCAAAAATGTCGAGAATGAGTCTCATATTGTCAATGATATAATCTACCATTCATAAAGCCGTTCTGCGACTCCTCAAATATATCAGTTAGTATTTTCTTTAACTCGATGGCCAGGCAGATAGCTAGGATTTTGTAATCATTATTAAGTAGGGTAATGGGACGCCAGTTATTTAAAATTAAGGTATCTTTTTGTGGTTTTGGAATTAAGGTGATTAGTCCTTGGCACATAGTTTGAGGAAGCTGTTCTTTCTCGATGCTCTCTAAGAAGACCTTTAATAAAAACGGAGCAAGCTCAGTGGAAAAAGTTCTATAAAATTCAGAGCTTAGCCCATCAGTGCCAGGAGATTTGTTTAACTTAAGTTTCTTGATGCCTTCTAAAATGTCAGCCTGCGTAATTGGTGAGTCACAGATTTTTTTATTTGCCTCCTCAATAGTTTCACATTGCCCCCTTTCATTAAAAAAATCATTCATGTGAGTGACTGAGAATTTGGATTTGTATATATTTTTATAATACTCTTCACAGGACTTAGATATTACTTTTGGGTCATCTACAATAACCCCATTAATGGACAGTTTGTTTATGCTATTTTTAGTTTGTCTTTGTTTTTCTAATTTAAAAAAGTAACTAGAATTTTGTTCACCCTCTTCTAACAATTTTGCTTTTGAACGTATGAAAGCTCCTTTAGCTTTGTTTATATACATCTTATCCAGTTTTAACTGAAGCGTTAATAATTCAGCTTGTTGTGCTTCAGAAATATTTTCTGGTAAGATAGAGGATATGGATATGAGTTTAGTAATTATATAATTTTCCTTCCCTTTTCTTCTCTTTTTTCAGTTTTGCTCCAGTTTCCATAAGTAGTTTTTCTCAACTCAAATTTTAACAACTCCCAGTTTTTTTTTTAATATATTTTCTTTTCCGTTTCAGCTAAATTGCAGTACTCTGAAATTTTGTTTTTTATGAGTTCACACACATTTTCATTTAGCAACAGGGTGTTATTCAATTTCCAATAGGCCGGACATCTACGAGGTTCTCTGTTTGTTGAAAAATGTATAGTTAGTGCAATTACTTTGTGTGATCTGTTAGAGGTGTCGGAATAATTTCTGTTTTGCATTGTAAGTGTGAAATCGATTCCGAGACAAGCCAGAGATCTATTCTCGGTTGTAGTGTACCATTTCTATTTTTTCCAATTGAATTCTATATTATGTGGATTATTTGTTCTCCACATATCAATTAGCCCTCTTTCATTCATGAACTCTGTTAAATATACATTCATGTTATTTTTGCTGGGGCACCTGTCCACATCATCACTGGGTGTACAGATGAAATCCCCTCCTAATATTATCTTTAAATTTGAAAATCTTTCTAAAATGCTTTCTATTGCTGTATTTAAGTCATGAAATAACTTTTTATTTTCCTTTACATTTGTATAGTCATATATATTACCCATCAGAAATAATTGGTTATTGTAATATAATACCTGAAGAATGAAGTGTCCATTTAAGGCTGTTTGTGTAAAGATAACCTTCCCGTTGAATTTGTGCGTCAAAGTAAGAGTTCCTGCTGAATGGTGATTACCATGTGACATCCAAATGTCCTCTCCCCATTGTGATCTCCAGAAGTTATAGTCTTCGTCAGAAGAGTGAGATTCCCGGATCAAACATAAGTCTGCATCAAAGTTTTTTGCATAAAGAAAAGCAGCCTTGCGCTTAGTAATAGCAGTAGTAGATTCTTAAGCCTCGAACATTAACGGAAATACATTTTAACTGTGAAATGTTTAAATTGACAGTGAAATATAAAAGTTGGAACGATACCTTCTTAACTTAAAGGCACAGAGTAGTAACACAAGAGAGTAGAGCTTCTCCCCATTGAAAATGTCTGAACAGTATATTACAGCAAGTGTATTTCCCTGTTATCAACGTATGCTCTTCCTCCAACGAAGTAAGCCACCTTCTTCTGCTCTCATGCTTTTTGGATGATGGGCCACAGACGATTGCGCTTGTGTGTGTGTGTGTGTGTGTGTGTGTGTGTGTGTGTGTGTGTGTGTGTGTGTGTGTGTGTGTGTGTGTGTGTGTGTGTGTGTGTGTGTGTGTGTGTGTGTGTGTGTGTGTGTGTGTGTGTGTGTGTGTGTGTGTGTGTGTGCGGAAGGACCGATGGCGCTGAGTGGCATGGCAGCTGCGCTTCTGTCAGTGTGCCCCAGGGCAGCTGTGGCAACAATAGTAGCTTACCATCACCAGGGTATAGAGTGAATGAATAATGCTATAGAAATAAAGACTTACTAGTAGTGGTACATGTACATGTGAGTTCACTGTTATTATGACGTATTAAAAAAGAATCATTAAACATTAAATAAGCCTCATTCTTCAGCAATAATATGAACATGACACAAGGGTAGGTGCTTTGCTGTAATAATTTTACCTCTGTAGCCTAATAGGCAATAGAGAATAATCATTAAATTACGTTTTACGTGTAGCCTAAAAGTTATAGATATTTAGCCTATATGAAGAACAATATAACTGTGTGTAGTGAATTTATTCAAAAGGGCCCTGCACTGACATAAAGCACAGTGACTTGTGAGTGGCATATAGTCTTCTCCTCGATCGTGTCTTGTGGATTTCATATTTGTACTTTTATGGATAGTTTAAAAAATAATTATATTATTTATTCAATAAACAAGACAAGAAAAAGGTTTATTAAGGTTATTGACATTTAATGGAGTAGTACAAAAAAGTGTAAATATGTGTCCATGCTTGTATACTTAATATATCTACCTAGTATGGTACCTAGAGTGTACCTGAAGCTTCTGCCAGTGTCTCTAGAGTAGATCACGTCCATGCCCTGTTACTTAACACTGCTGACACACAGTCATCATAGAGACCAGGGAATGGAGTCTGTCCCCTGTCCAGGCCCCTCCACACAGCACTGCTCCTTTGGGCACACTCACATCTGAGGCACCAGAAGGAGCACGGTCATAGTTCATGGTTCTGGTAGGTATAGGCCACATATTCATGCATTTGTTCAGTGACATTGGCAATACAACTTTTCTGATTTTGATTTCTTCTGCTGTGGCTGGTTGTGTGATTCACACATCTAAACACAAATGTCTGCTGTGGGACTGAGGCTGTGAACACTAAGATGTGAACACTAAGATCTGGGCAAAACAACACCATTCAAACCAGTCTATGAACCTATGACACCATGTCTTTTGAAGGGTAAGCCACTGATTTGTCTCCATGGAGACGTGTAGTATTGCAGTAAACCAAATTATCTCTATAAAGACAAAATGTTAATGCTCCCAGGTGGAGTTACAAGTCAGATCTGTGGAGTGACAAGTCTCACATTAATAATGTTTTGCACGCACTTTAAACAGCTATAACTTATAATATGTTATATAGATAAATTTAGTGATATACTGTATAACTTTCCAGTTAAAGGAATAGCATCTCCATGGAGACAAGAAGGTAGCAGACCCCCATCAGATAAGTTGCATAATGCCCCTTTAAGTAAATTCTAATAAAAAATACAATGTACATGTACTCTAAAAGTATTTGGCATAAAATGACATAAGAATTCCAAATCAACTTGTTTATTGACTAATTTCCTGTACATCCTTTCAGTGTGGTCTTCTGATCAGCTCCATCTCAGGTTGTCATCTCCTGGAGACATGATTCTTCTCGTCAGCTTCATCAAATCATTTCTGATCAGCTCGTGATCTTCACCTTCTGGCAGCAGGGGACTGGGAATTGTTCTGGAAAAGCCCAGAACAGCTGTCTGCTTGTGGACCGATCCTCAATTTCCATCATGGGTGGATTTGTGGGGGAAAATTCTGGAGATACAGTTCTTCTGGTCAGCTTCATCAAATCACTTCTGATCAGCTCCTGTTCTTTATCTTCTGGAGATACAGTTCTTCTCGTCTGCTTCATCAAGTCACTTCTGATGTGCTCTTGTCCTTCATTTTCTGGAAACATGATTCTTCTCGTCAGCCTCATCACATCATTTCTGATCAGCTCATATTCTTCATCTTCTGGCAGCGGCGGACTGGCAATCTGTGCATTCTGGAAAAGCCCAGAAAGGCCGTCCACTCGTGGACTGGTCCTCAATTTCCACCATGTGTCTGTCCTTGGTTTTTTTGGTCAGCTTCATCAAGTCACTTCTGATCAGCTCTTGTCCTTCTTTTTCTGGGGACATGGTTCTTCTCGACAGCTCCATCTCTTGTTCGTCATCTTCTGGAGCCACGTTTTTTCTCGTCAGCTTCATCAGATCTCAGGACCATGGGGCTCAGATGGTCCCTCCAAACCAGTCACTATGTGAACAGAAATAGAAACAGAAACAGAAACAGCGTTAAAGCATGTGCACATTCAGAATAAGCTTCTATACAATTATTATTTCTTACCTAATGTTTATTATTATTAGAGTTATTTATTATTAGAACAGCTGTCTGCTTGTGGACCTGTCCTCAATTTCCATCATGGGTGGATTTATGGGGGAAAATTCTGGAGATACAGTTCTTCTGGTTAGCTTCATCAAATCACTTCTGATCAGAAGCCTGGTCCTCAATTTCCACCGTGTGTCTGCCCTTGGTTTTTTGATCAGCTTCATCCCATCACTTCTGATCAGCTCTTGTCCTTCATCTTCTGGAGACATGGGTCTTCTCATCAGCTTCATCGCATCACTTCTGATCAGCTCATATGCTTCATCCTCTGGCAGCGGCGGACTGGCAATCTGTGCATTCAGGAAAAGCCCAGAATGGCCATCTGTGCGTAGACCGGTCCTCAATTTCCACCATGGCTTGATTTGTGGCAGAAAATTCCAGGGCCGTTTTTGGTCCCAATCTGCCCATGTCTTCTGGAGATACAGTTCTTCTGGTCAGTTTCATCAAGTCATTCTGTTCTGTTCTTGGTGCCTTTTTGTCAGATTCATCACATCACTTCTGATCAGCTCCTTTATCTTCTGGAAACAAGGTTCATCTGGTCAGATCTGCTTCTTGTCCTTCTTCTTCTGGGGACATGGTTCTTCTCGACAGCTCCATCTCTTGTTCATCATCTTCTAGAGCCACGTTTTTTCTTGTCAGCTTCATCAGATCTCAGGACCATGGGGCTCAGATGGCCCCTCCAAACCAGTCACCATGTGAACAGAAATAGAAACAGAAACAGAAACAGCGTTAAAGCATGTGCACATTCAGAATAAGCTTCTATGGAATTATTATTTCTTACCTCATGTTTAGTATTATTAGAGTCAAATGATTTTAACAAGTCAAGATGACTTACAATAAAACACCTAAACCTAGAGAGTAGAAGCAGGGACTGTTCCCTGGAGAGTCGGTGAATGCACTCCCGTCTCTGCAGTTACAATTCTTAACAGTAGTGTAAAAAAAAAATGTACTGCCAAGAACTTCAACTGCAGAGATGGGAGCGTGTTCACTGACTTTTACAAAACAACAAAACAAACACCCAATGTACATACTTTCTCAAACAAAACATCAATCATTCAGTTACAGTTGAATCAAAATAATTACAGTCATTCAGAACAACCAAAATCACTATTTCTGAACAGTCTTCAGTGTTTACAAAAGCTTAGAACTAATGATCAACACATAAGACTATTAAAAAAAAAAAAAAAAGGAGAAGCAGGGAGTGTCCCACTGACTGGTGAGTTAGTGAACAAACCCACATCTCCAGATACAATCATTCAAAATAGTACAAGTCTCCAAAGAGACTGTTCACAAAGACTTTCAGTAAAATACACATTTGATTTGAAATGGTACTTTACAGGCCGTACAATGTGAATTCAACCCAACAAAAACAGGAGATGTGAGTGAACAAAGCCACACCTCAACACTTTAAGATTATTCTCTCATAGTTAATATAATGAGATTTGCAGTTGTTGAGAATACGGCCTCACTGCCTTAAATATAATATTTTTGTTTTTGTATAACACAGTTATATACAAATGTAATACTAAATACTATAAAACACACTCTCACCGCTAACCCTCCTATGCCCAGAAAAACACAAGTTTACAGTAAATGCAAGGTGTACTATGCAGGAATTTCTGTCAGACTGTAGTACTCTGATTAAATTTAATGTATCAGTTAGAACTCACTTTTTCAGTACAAACTAACCTGGGGCCCAACCGCGTGTTACATGTTTTACAATTCAGATAAGATAGTTAACAATCACTCAATTAAAATATAGTCAATGATAAAACTTTACATATTATCATCAAAGTTTTTATGAAATCCTACATAATAATCCTTGCTTTTTTCCTACTTAAAGACTATAACACTCAGTTTAGTAAAAAGTCAAGATGTACTATGCAGGAATTTCTGTCAAACTGTAGTACTCAAATAAAATTTTACATTAATTAGATTTTAGTCAGTGGAAAGAGTAAAATGTATTTACTATTATTATTATTTTATTTATTTATTATTATTATTGTTTGCTTGTTGAAATCCTACATAGTATTCCCTACTTTTTTGTGTACTTTTTTTTTTTTTTTTTTTTTTTTGCATTTCTTTTTTTTTGTATTTTTTTTTTTGTAAATCTATGACTTTTTCTAATAGTAATAGTAATAAAAAAAAACTATAAAACACACTCTCTGAACTCTGACCCTCCTATGCCCAAAAAGTATAAGGTGTACTATGCAGGAATTTCTGTAAAACTGCAGTACTCAGATTTGAATTCAGAATAAGAATGACAGGTTCATAACATTTTCTCAACAAGAAAATGTTATGTTTTATCACCAATGTTTGTTGCTTACTGAAATCCTACATAGTATTCCTTCCCTTCAATCTATTCCTTGAAATCAAGAAATCAATCAATAAATCAATTGGATGATGGCCGCGGTTAAAGGTGGTAAAAGTCACCGCGTTGAGCCAAGCTCTGAGTCTCAGAGGCTGAGTTCAGTCCTCGTCTGACTCAGAGTCTTGGAGCAGGTGGCGGAAGAAGAAGCGGAAGCCCCCAGATGTCCCAGA